ATTTGCATAATTTCCACTGTCCTGTCTACCCCCCTCATATAGTAAAAACGACAACAACAACAAAAATACTCTCCTGAGGACATCATATTTCTAGCTCTGCCTTTTATCTAACCTTTGACCTTCACCTAATATTTACATTTCTGAATCTTTCCTGATCTATTAAATGGGAATAATTGACCTGCCTTTTTCGTATTTTTTGTCAATATGCACTTAAAATTTATCAGTGAAATCATAAACACATACACAGGTAAGCTGGTGAGACGGCTCAGCAGGTAAAGGACTTGCCACCAAGCCGGTGACCTGAGTTCAGTCTCCAGCACTCTGCATGGTGGAAGGAGAGAACTGACTCCCACATGTCTCTGACCTCCACAAATGTGCCATGGTATGCACAGAAAAGAGTAAATAAATACAAAAAAGTAAAATTTTATGCTATTACAACACAAAATATATTCAACTAAAATGCAAAAAGAAAAAAATTTAAATTAAATTATTACTGCACATGATGGTAGACACCTTAATGCCAATATTCAAGATGTGTATCACCACCCTCAGCTAGACCTTTTTTTCCTTTTCTTTTTTGGTTGTTGGTTTTTGGAGACAGGGTTTCACTGTGTAACAGCTTTGGCTGTTCTAGACTTAGCTTTGTAGACCAGGCTGTCCTTGAACTCACTGAGATCCACCTGCTTCTGTCTCTCAAGTGTTGGGATCAAAGGTGTGAGCCACCACTTTTTTTTCAACTGTGGTAAAATATACATACCATTACATTTATCGTCTGAACACTTAAATGTACAGTTTACTAGTGTTAAAATACATTCACAGTGTTGTGCAAGCAGCTGCTAGAACTCCTTTCATCTTTGAAAACGGAATCTAACTCCCCAGTGGCTCCTGCCATAGCCCCTAACAACTGTATTTCTTTCTGTCTTCAAAACAAAACAAAAGACCACTTATTTCTTTACTTTGTGTCAGGGCAGAATGTGAGCATGCCACTCATAAGAGGCAACTTATAGAGTTAATTATGGCCTTCCACCAGTGGGTCTTGAAGATCAAACTCAGATGTCAGCCTCAGTGGTAAGAACCTTTACCCACTGATCCATCTTTCTGGCCCTCTTTCCTTTTCTTTATAGACGTTATTTACACTACATACCTCCTATAAGGTGGTAACATGGTGCTTATCTTTTTGTAACTGGCCATTTCATTTAACATTATATCCTTAAAGTTGATCTAGGTTGTAGCATGTTTCAAGAATTTCTTCTAAGGTCGAATACTTTGCCATTAGGTGTATCTACCACACCTATTCATCCAGAGACACTTAAGTTGCTTTCATCTTTTTGCTGTTGCAAATAATGCTCCTGTAAACATGGGTGTTAAATTATCTCTTGTTCTCTTGTTGAAGTTTTTTTTTTTCCTTTAAATTCTTTTTTTTTTTTTTCCTCGAGACATGATTTCTTCATATAGCTTTGTGCCTTTCCTGGATCTTGCTCTGTAGACCAGGCTGGCCTCGAACTCACAAAGATTCGCCTGCCTCTGCCTCCCGAGTGCTGGGATTAAAGCGTACGCTGTCACCACCACCTGGCTCCTTTAAATAACACACACACACACACACACACACACACACACACACACACACACACACACACACACACACACGCTTACTCATGCACCTCCCTACCCCAAAGTAGAATTACTGGGTCTTATAATCCCGACATTTGGAAGGTTTATGGAAGAGATCTTGTCAAGGCCAACTTGGGCTATATATTGTAGCAAGTGCCTGACTCAGGGCCTGTGAGATTATGTGCACTTGGCAGCAAGCCTGGGGATCTGGGTTTAATCCCTGGGACCCAAATGGTGGAAGGAGAGAACTGACTCTTAAACTGTCCTCTGACCTTCACCCATGCCCTATGACTAGTATGTGTACGTCCTTCCCTATACAAACTAAAAATAGAAGAAGATTCTCAACGAAACAGAAATTGAAAACTTACTGTAGCATATGCTACTTCTGTTATTTTTAAGAGTTATTTTCAAGTATGTGTATGTCTGTGTGGCAGCATGTACAGTGTAAATACAGGTGTCCACAGAGGCCAGAAGAAGGCGTCAGATCCCTGGAGCTGGGATTATAGGAGTTGTGAGCAACATACCATGCATACTGGGAACTGAACTGGAATCCTCCTCAAGAGCAGTCTGTCTTTCTTAACAGCTTAGCCATCTCTCCAGCCCACACTTTTGCTAGTTCTTGTCTCCTGTTTACTTGTTTGTTTGTTCTTATGTGGATGGATGTTTTGCCTCCATGTCAGCCCACCATGTGTGTGCCCAGTGCTTGTTGAGGCCAGAAGAGGGTGTCAGATCCCCTGGAACAGGAGTTACAGAGAATAGTGAGCTGCCTTGTGGCTGCTGGGAATCAAACCTGGGTCCCCTGGAAGAGCAGCCAGTGCTCTTAACCAACCAGCCACCTCTCCAGCTCTTTTCTACTGGTATTTTAGGAACCACTGTGTTGTTTTCCAGAATGACTGTACTGTGCCATTTTGTATTCCTACCAGCGGAGAACCGTTGGCATTTGAGATACTATCGTGTGTCAGCAAGTTGTGTTTCCCTAGCAGTTTGCCTCTTTCATCACTCTGTCAAATTTATTGTCATATTTGTAATGTCTTTTAGTGATTCCTTAAAAAAATCTGGCATTGGTTACTTAAGTCTTTTTCTTCATTTAGAATAAAGTCAGTATGCTTGGAACTTGCAGTAAGTCAGTGAAATGATTGAGTGAAGTGCTTGGTGACAAGCCAGAACTCCTCAGTCGATCCCTGAGACCCACGTGGTGGAAGAAGACAACCGACTCCTACAAAGTTGTCCCTGGCCTTCACATGCTTGCCCTCACACTGTCTCACACACACTGTATAAATCAGTATACACTAAATCCATGCATATAGTAAACTTAAAAAGAAACTGTCAGTTGATTTTTCAAATGATTCATTTTTTATCACTTTGTTATCTGATTATTATAGATTGATTTCCTTCCTTTTTTCTGTCATTATGTTTTGTTTTGTTTTGTTTTTTGAGATAAGTTCTTATGTAAACCAAGCTAGCTTCTTAACTCACTGTGTATTCAAAGATGATCCTTGAACTCCTGATCCTTCTGTTTCTATTTCCTAAGTGTTGGGATTTCAGCCATATGCCACCCCAACTAGTCTACATTTTAGTGTGTATATGTTATGCTTATGTGTATATGTGTTTGTGCAGATTAACACACCTATGTGTGTGGAGGCCAATAGTTGATGTTGGAAAGTTTTTCCTCAGTGTCTTCTCTGCCTTATTATTTATTTGTTATTTATTTATTTATTTAGAGGCAATTGTTCACTGTGAGCCCTGGTTGTCCTAGAATCCACTCTGTAGACTAGGCTGGCCTTGAACTCACAAAGATCCACCTGCCTCTCCCTTAAGTGCTGAGATTAAAGGCGTGTACCACTATTGCCTGACTTTTTCTTTTTCTTTTCTTTCTTTTTTTTTTTTTTTAAGATTTTAATTTTTTGCCGGGCGGTGGTGGCGCACGCCTTTAATCCCAGCACTCGGGAGGCAGAGCCAGGCGGATCTCTGTGAGTTCGAGGCCAGCCTGGGCTACCAAGTGAGTTCCAGGAGAGGCGCAAAGCTACACAGAGAAACCCTGTCTCGAAAAACCAAAAAAAAAAAAAAAAAAAAAAAGATTTTAATTTTTTATTTTTATTTATTTATTTATTTATTATGTATACAGAAGAGGGTGCCAGATCTCATTACAGATGGTTGTGAGCCACCATGTAGGTGCTAGGAATTGAACTCAGGACCTCTGGAAGGGCAATCGGTGCTCTTAACCTCTGAGCCATCTCTCCAGCCCCAGATTTTATTTATCATGTATACAGTGAGTGTTCAGCCTGCAGGCCAGAAGAGGGCACCATATCTCATTGTAGATGGTTGTGAGCCACCATGTGGTTGCTGGGAATTGAACTCAGGACCTCTGGAAGAACAGCCAGTGCTCTTAACCTCTGAGCCATCTCTCTAGCCCCTCTTTCTTTCTTTTTTTTGTTTTGTTTTCCATGACAAGGTTTCTCTGTATAGTTTTGGAGCGTAGCCTGGAATTTGCTCTGTAGACCAGGCTGTACTTGAACTCATGGAGATCCACCTGTCTCTGCCTCCCAAGTGCTGGGATTAGAGATGTGTGCCACTACCACCCAGCTCTGGTTATTTTTTTTAATGATTATTTTGTGTGTGTGTATGAGTGTGTGTGTGTGTGTGTGTGTGTGTGTGTGTGTGTGTGTGTGTGTGTGTATGTGCACCATGTGCATGGCTAATGCCCAAGGGGGTCAGAAGAAGGTGTCAGATCCCCTAGAACTAGATTTATAGACGATTGTGAACCACCATGTGGGTGCTGGGAACCGAACCTGGGTCTGCTACAAGACCAACTAGTGCTCTTAGCCACTGAGTCATCTCTCCAGGCTCTCCACCTTATTTTCTGAGACAGTTTTTCATTGAACCTGAAGCTTTGCAAGGTTTCAACTGGACTGTCTGGCTCACATGTCCCCGGGAGCCTCCCGTCTCTGCCTTCAATGCAGTGACTATAAGCACACCAGCTCTTACATGGGCTTTCCCCCCAGACCCAAACTCAGGTGCTCACATCTACCCAGCAAATACTTTATCCACTGAGCCATCTCCCTAGCTGTCATTTTACTTTTTATATTAGGTTTTGTTCTTCATTTTCTTGTTCATTTATTCACTGTTGGTCTCCTGCTCCCTGGGTCTGATATGTGCTTGCTTACTTGAGTTGGCATGATTGTTCTCCTGCCTATCCCTTCCAGAGCATAGTTATTTGTTTTTAATGAGAGAATGAAATGAAAGAAATAGAAATGCTAAGAATAATGTCACCTTTCAGAACTAAGTTTTGACAGTTATCAGCTGTACCTAGAGTTCTAACCTACCCTAGTTGACAAGATTATATAAATATGGCTTTTCACTGTGTGACACTTTTTTTCTCCTCCCTACAGGACCCACTGGGGCCCAGCCCCTACTCATAGTGCCCAGAAGACCTGGATATGGCACTATGGGCAAACCCATTAAGCTGCTGGCTAACTGTTTTCAAGTTGAAATCCCAAAGATTGATGTCTACCTCTATGAGGTAGACATTAAACCAGACAAGTGTCCTAGGAGAGTAAACAGGTAAGAATCATGAAGTCTAACTGCCATTGGCTGTTTGTATGGAAGTGATGTGTCTTTTTTACATATTTGAATAACAATGATAAGATTAAAACTTTGATCAGAAATACATGGTAATTTGTTTTGAAATTTGTACTTCAGCAGTGGATGATAAGAGAAATCTTCAAACTTCCTTCAGATTATCCCATTATGTATGAGTTTACATGTTATTCATGTGGTAATAGAAAAGGTTCAAGTCATGTTCGCATGTCGTTTGAAATCTGGCCAAGTATTCTGAGCATGTCTTTTGTATTACTGTTTGTAGGTGGGCTTTTCGGTCCTGCCAGCTGCTCCCCAAATAACCACACAGAGACCTAATTTTAATTATAAGTCCTCAGCCAATAGCTTAAACCTGTTTTTAGCTAGCTTTTATAACTTAAATTAACCCATTTCTATTAATCTATGTACTGCCCTGGGGCTCGTTTACCTCATGTAATACTTCCCATCCTGCTCACTCTGTGTCTCATGGTGTCTCTCTGGACACCTCCTCCTCCTTCTTCCCAGCAGTCTCTTAGTCTGGTTCTCCCGCCCAGCCTTAGCCTGCCTAGCCATCAGCCAATCAGCTCTTTACTAACCAATGGGAGTAATATATATTTACAGTGTGCAGAGAATGTTCCACAGCAGCTGTTAGGTAATTTATGTGTGTGTTCTTTTTCTTTCCCACCTCATCTTACCATTTTCATAATGCTCCCTTTAAAATGATGGTGGTAGTAGTATATCCCCCCATTTTTAAATTAAAAGATAATAAGTAAATGAAAAGTAAAATAAATTTGTAATTGAATAGTGGTAACAAGACATGTAAGAAATATGAATGTCAGATCACTTTTTCTTGGCCTTACCATTCTAGTTACTATTTCTGTTATAACTGAAAATGAATGAGTACTGAGTTAAATATGTTAAAACAATAAAATGTGAATGTTGTGATTAAGGTGTAATACCGAGTTCTTTTGAGAGCAGGAAAAGTTTTGGAATATAGTGTTGGAAATAACCTCTTACGGTTATTTAAGAGGTCAGTTAATCCAATATAGATGAAATCCAGGAAGGTAAAATGACTTAAAATCACACTTTAACAGAAAAGGTGAAATTAGAACTGCAGAAGCCTCACTTGGAAGAAAAAGAATTTAATTGGTCTAAAATAATTAGACCCTGTAGCACAAATCTTAAAAGGTCTTATTAATAAAATCGAACCTGAAGCCTGGTATTGGGATGAATGCTGAAAGATCAGAGAAGCAGAACAAGCCACAGCTTCCTCACCTCACCAATTCCTTAGCTGATCCTGTTTCCTCAGACTGGAAGTCTCTGAGTCCTCATCCAAATTGATCTCAGCTGAACTGCTGCTAAAAGCCTAAAAGCTTAACCAGCTCTAGTTCCTGGTTTTCATGCCTTATATACCTTTCTGCTTTCTGCTATCACTTCCTGGGATTAAAGGCGTGAGTCACCACGCCTGGCTGTTTCCAGTGTGGCTTTGAACTCACAGAGATCCGGATAGATCTCTGCCCCCCAAGTGATAGGATTAAAAGCGTGTGTGCCACCATTTTCTGGCCTCTGTCTATCTAGTGACTGTTCTGTCCTCTGACCCCAGATAAGTTTATTAGGATGTACAATATATTGGAGGACACAATATATCACCACAAGACCCTATCTGTCTATCTATCCAAATTTGTGTTTGTGTGTGTGTGTGTGTGTGTGTGTGTGTGTGTGTGTGTGTGTGTGTTTATGCCATAGCTGGGCTTGGTGGCACACATCTTTTATTCCAGCACTCGGGAGGCAGAGGCAGTTGGATCTCTGTGAGTTTGAGGCCAGCTGCTCTACAGAGTGAGTTCCAGGACAGTCAGAGTTATGTACAGAGACCCTGTCTTGAGCAAAACAAAACAAAACCCATTATAAAAGTAAATAAGGCCGGGCGGTGGTGGCACATGCCTTTACTCCCAGCACTCGGGAGGCAGAGGCAGGTGGATCTCTGTGAGTTCGAGGCCAGCCTGGTCTACAAAGCAAGTCCCAGGAAAGGTGCAAAGCTACACAGAGAAACCCTGTCTCGAAAAAAACCAACCAACCAAAAAAAAAAAAAAAAAAAAGTAAAGATGAATGCAGCAGTAGGTAGAAAAGAACAGATGTTGTGGTATATGTTGGTTAATCTTCCTTGTCATCTTGACTGGACTTGGAATCACCCAGGAGACACTTTATCCACAATGTGGGTATATTTACAGAGGCTTAACAGAGGGTGAAAGACCCACCCAGAATGTGGGTGATAGCATCCCAAGGACTATGGTTCCAAACTGAATGAAAAAGGAAAAAGGAGGAAGCCAGTTGAGTAGTAACCTTCATTTCTTGGTTTTCCTGACTATGGACATAGTGTGATCAGCTACTTCATGTTCCTGCCACCAAGACTCGTGTGCTGTGGTGGATTGCAACTCTCAATCTGTGAACTGCAACAAACTCTTCTTAAATTACTTTTGTCAGATATCTGTCACAACTGCAAGAAAAATAATTTGGAAAACTAGTACTAATAGTAGATTTGTTGCTGTGATAAACATAATTGTGGGGAGAGAGGGAGATGGCTCAGTGGGTAAAGGTGCCTGCCACCATGCTTGATTGCTGATAACTCAAGTTTGAGCCCTGGAACCCACACGGCAGAAGGGCAGAACAGACTCAGAGGCACCACGTGCACCATGGCTTGCTTCTCCACACATACAAAATTAATGAAATAAAAATGTAATCTAAAAAATTTAAAAACAAACAAACCCGAGCATGTGGTTTATAGGCCTTTGGGATTGTTTTATAGGAAGAATGGTGCCCCCGAGCCTCAGATGCTGGGCATGGAGTGTGGGATTTGTTGGTTGGCCTCCTTGGTTTCAGACTGCTGTAGTCTAGTCCTCCCAATCTTCTCTTTGGACTGGGAATGTGTACTTCATGCTATTGTATAATGTATATTGTATATTGGAAGGTTCCAGCTAGAGAAGCTCTAGAATGCTGTCAGCAGAACTTATGGGCCATTCTGAAGGGACTTTGGAGGACCAAAATGCAGATAGCAGAGGCCTAGTTAGGAGGTTTCTATAAGCCACCAAATTCAGAAATGGGCTAACTGTTTTCTGAAAATCTGAGTGAGAATGAATTGAAAAGTAATGGACTATATTGTTTGAATTTCAAGACAGGTAACATCCAGACTGTGACATAATTACCACTCACTGCTCTTAGTCAGATCTGCAGTGAGAGAGCAGAAAGATGTTTAAAATGTGTAGCTTGGTGTTTAAAGATACATGCAAGGAGGATGTGTTGAGATCAGCTGACATTGTTAAATAAAGTAAGATCATTAAAGAGAAATCTCAGAGCACTTGGGAGGTAGAGGCAGGCAGATCTCAGAGTTCAAGACCAGCCTGGTCTACAAAGTGAATTCCAGGACAGCCAGGGCTGTTGAAACCCTGTCTCAAAAAAACAGAGAGAGTGGGAGAGGGAGAGGAGAGAGAGAGAGAGAGAGAGAGAGAGAGAGAGAGAGAGAGAGAGAGAGAGAGAGTCTCAGACAGGCTTTGCACTGTATGTCTTTAACCCGGCTTCAGAGACACAGCCAAGAGGATCACAGCAAGTCTCTAAAGGAAGCCAGGGCCATATAATGAGACCTTATCTCTAAATAAATAAATCTCCTGTCCTGCACTGGGACAAGAAGAAGGTACCAGGAGTTCAGAAACTCGTTCATCAAAGAGTCCAGCTTATGAAAATGCAAGTTCGTTTGAAAGGAGGGAGCCTTAACTGAGGATGCACTGAGAATGCTGCTGAAGGGATTCCCTGCTTGAAAACCGCTCGCTCCCCCTCCAATCCCACCCCTGCCCTATCAGCGCCTGGGACAGGTGGGGGAACTGACCCTGAGGTCACAAGAGCAGGAAAGCTGTTCCTGCGCCGCCGCCGCCACCGCCGGCCCCTTTAGCTGCAACACTCGGGAAAGCAGGCCCTGCACCTCACCTGGGCAACACATTAGAGCTCGCCCTGTTGGCTCATCTGTCATTTAGTGGTATGGGTGGGGGAGAGATGCCTCCCTTACCCCTCACCCGTTACCAGCTGCAGCACTCAGGAAAGTGGGCCCTGTTCCTTGCCTGGGCAACGTAGCAGAGTTGGATCTGTTGTCAGGTGTGGGTGACCCAGCCCCAGTGTTGGGGAGTGGGTTTTCCATTACTCATCTGACATGTGGCATGGGTGGAGGAGAGATGTGTGTGTGTGTGTGTGTGTGTGTGTGTGTGTGTGTGTGTGTGTGTGTGTGTGTGTTTGTTTTGTGTGTATGCGTGTGTCCGTGTCCCCGACCCTTGATGCATGGGACAGGTGGAGGAGCTGACCCTGGGATCATGGGAGTGGGCTGTCCCTGCCCCTCACCAGCTGCAGACACAGAAGAGTGGCCCCTGTACCTTGCCTGGGCAACACAGTGGAGCTGGTCCTGATGGTGTAGGTGTGGGAGAGCCGGCTCTGAGGCTTTGAAGGCAGGAGAAGTGGCCCTTCCCCTCGCTCATTGCTACAAGGGGTGAATTAGCTGGAGCAGTGCTGGAGAGCTCACTTGGTGGCAAGGACAGGGGAAAACTGGCTGGTAGACCAACTCTGCAGCTTCCCAGGCCCAGAACCAGGGTTATGACTTGGCCTGCCCCAGCATCCACCCCATCTATGATCTGCTGGAGCACATGAAGGGGCCAGACCCAAAGCTGCAGGATCTGCACAATGCAAAGCAACAACAGGATATCCAAGAATCCCAGTGAGGGCTCAGCATTGACAGTGTAGTAGAAACCAGAGGCCTCAAGCCAGACCAATGACTCTTTGCAATGGACACTTGCAAGTAAAGATAAATGGACAAAGGGGTTTACTTCGTGACTCACTGTGTCACACTGCAGCTTCCATGACAATATTTTTAATTTTTTCCTTTTAAATTTTGTTTTATTTGAGGGAGAAGTGGGCGGGTTGCAGGGCCAGAGGGCAGATGCAAAGGGACA